GGATGTATTGATTACTCCATCATCCCATACTCTTTTTAATTTGCTCTTGCACCAAGAAACAAAGGAAGTTTCATTGCACTGAAGCAGTAAGCCAACTCTTTCTGCTTACCCCTTGCCATGCTTCCACCTAACTTCCCTGTCAATCCATCCTGGGGTTGTCCTCACACAATCTCTGTTTTTGTTACTCTAAAGTTAAAGCTATCAACCAGTCTGGACTTCCATTGTCAGTTCCTGCGAAAACCATCAGGTCTTTGTTATGTTGCTAGAGCAAATCAAGCATACCCCCAGAGGTTAGTTATCAGGGATAAATGTTGATCTCCAAACCTAGCCTCCTTAGACACAGTTGGCCCATAGTTGGCCTCTGTGTGCACAGAAAGATTTTCCACTCACTGTGTCAACCTCAGGCCCCATTCTAAGCAATGATCGCTTTCCATGGCCTAGTCTTTGGACAGGTAATTATCACTCTTCTTTCTCAAACTTCTTTATCCAATTTCCATATTTCCACTTTGGTTAGCTCTGAATGCTGTGTCTGTTTGAATTACTATCATGTGTTTTATTGCAGATTTCTTTTAAAAAAAGCTTAATTCACCCAAGCTCGGAGTCCTCTTCAGTGAGTACTGGTATACACTTGTACCAATGATCCTAAAGTTACCCAGCCTCTTGCTAGCTTTAACAAATTCCTCCAACATTTAAAAAGAAGCTGATACATTTGGTGGGGACCCTCCAGTCTCTTGCCTTTCTTTAGGAAATAGTTATCCATCTGTAACCCTCAAAAGTTTTCCCACTGTTTCTTCCATATTTTTGTATCTTATCAGAATGGGCTTGGGGGAGAATCTACTGAAGAGGAAAACACACAATAGTTACACATTATTTTTTTATTAGCAGTTCTACAAAGCACATGATCTTGGATGCTTTACTCATTAGTAAAATAGTACATGGGAAAGTCATTCTTCTCACCCCCAAATATTATTCCCCTTCCCTTCCATTATGCTCTCTATATGCTCAGTCTGTACTAGTTCACACATGCAGAAGTTACTTCATCCATATGTATTGATCCCATGCCATTAACCTGATAGTCTTTTTTTCAATTATATACTTGCTTTTCTGACATCTGACAAGGAGTAGAAACACTGAATCTGGTTTAGGCATTTTGAAAACAGTCTGGATTTGATTCAAGGTTTGGGGCCTGTGAAGTGTAAATAGCATGCAGCAAGCCCAAAGGGAATCCAGGGTTTATAAGAAATGTAGACAAGCCCTTTGACGTTTCTGCAATAGTACAAATAACTGGACTCAAATTGTTCTTGATGAGGGCATATTCCTAAGCCTAATTTCTGGTCAGGTATCTTCCTTCCTCGAAAATGGGAATCTCAGTCACTCACTCTGATGACCATTTTCAGCCAGACAGGAAATTAGGAATGGTCATTACAACTTTTCTGTATGAATTCTCTTGAAAAATAAAACTTAATGCAGAGGTGCAAACTCTTTTATGATTGGATACTTCAGGCTCACAGAAACATTTCTTTTATCTTTTGAGGCAGGTTGGCCATCCTCTCAGTCTATACCAGGGTCTGGCAACCTACGGCCCACAGGGCCGGTTCTGGCCCAGGTCCCGGCACTTACTGGCCTAGGCGGACCCCTGCCGCCGCCACCGCATGTTTTGGCCGCCATGTGGCCGTGTGCGCCACGACCGCCATTTTGATTTCCAAAATGGCGGCCGTGACGTGTTTGCGCATGAGCAGGAGCATGCATGTCGCGGAGGCGGCAGCGGCCATGTGTGCCGCAGTGGCAGCAGCAGTGGCAGCGGCGGCAGCAGCGCGCATGCTGCCATTCCTCCCCCCCTCAGCCCGGTGGAGGGAAGGACTTCGGGAGACCGGCCCCCAGCTCAAAAAGGTTGCCTACCCCTGGTCTATACTAATTTGCTCTGGTATACACTTTAGGAATAAACTGTTACAGAGACTTGAACTGAAAGAGTTCAAATTAATAATTAATTTCATTTTATCTGAGCCATATTTATGGTCTAGGGAGAAGGGGCAGAATTATTTTCTGACTAACTCAATCCAAAACAGCATTAAAGACCAACCTCTTCTCGCAAGCTTACCCAGATGATTTTTAAATTGTGAATTTTAAATATAGATTGTTT